TCTCTGATAGTCATAGACGCGATTAAAACGCGTCTTTAGCTCTGGACGTCGTACAATGAAGCGGTTTGGCCAGTTCTTTCCAACGTGTCGCACACCGCGTTTCCGAAGCAGGAGATTGGCGATATCACCCACGTCGACAATCCGGGGCGAAAACCCTCGCGAATCTCGGTCGAGTATGTATTGAACAATGGCCTCCTCTTCGATCTTCGTCAAATTCGAACGGCCGTGATAGCTGTCGGACTTCGCGATCTTTCCCTTCATTCTATCTGCAATTGTCGACTTGGGGACATTGTATATCTCTGCGGCGCGTCGGATACTCAAGCGCGGTGTTGATCGAATCGCATTGATCGCGAGAAGAACTCGGTTTTCTGGGAAGCTGTCGGACATTGTTGTGGTAGAGAAAACGCGTGTTGAAGTTGGGTGGTTATGGTGGGGGAAAATGTGTCCGAGTCAATGGGGTGTCCGAGTCAATGGTGGATCACGTTATAATAAACTTAGTCTACCGTCTTAGAGTACGTCATCAAACTTCGCTGTTTACAGCCACTTACCAATCTTATTTACCAAGACATCGAATATCATCTGCAAAGTGAAACCCTTTTACAGCTTGTCATCAAACTCCCGAGGTACCACCTTAGGTACCTGATTATTTACCTCAGCGATTGAGCGGCCCTGTGTCTCTCCCATTGAAGGCTGCAGAAAGCCCGTCTGCCAAGCTCTTTGGCGTTTCTGGCACTTCGCCATGGCGCCCATAGCGCGCTTCCCAATCCATTTCATGGTGCAAATATCCGACCCGACCGCTTGCTTAGGCCCGACCGGCCCATTTTTCGCCGGCACCGACATTGACCGCATCCTTGAGCGACGCCCGCTTCGCGAAGAAGAAACAGAGGCGCTTACACAAGCAGCGAGGGAATTTCGTCGCCAGGCATTGGAGACAAAGTGGCAGCGGCGATGAAGGCAATTCGAGGTTGTTATTGTGCTGGCTGTGCTAGGCCTCATGGCATGGAGGGTTTGGCGTGCTTACCGCTGAATTCCTTTATAAGGACTCGGTCGGGAACAGATTTGGGATTGGGTCGAGGTTAAGGGGGGCTACATGATTTGCTGTCCCCGGGTGTTATAATTCTGAGATTGCGAGTATGTCTGCGATGTGCTGAGTATGGGCTTGTCGACGCATATGCCTGTCTTGGCGGCAAGAAAAGCTCTGGGGTTGAGCTTGCGCAGCGGCGCATCTGGCTTCAGGCTTGGGAGACGTCGAATTGCGCGATGTTGAGTACTAAGAGTCGCAGAGTAGTGGATATTAACGCCGGACACGGGCTTCTTGCCGGACCGGATTTCAGACTCCTCCTGCAGAAGACGGGGGGGGGGGGGGGGGGGGGGGGGGGGAGGGCTGGGCTTTGGACTTGGAAAGCATTGATTGCTGGCGGACTTGACCAGGCACTCAAGCCCTATGTGTGACGACGTCCTTCAGGTCGGCACATTGGGTCCAAGGGAGCAGCGATGATGGTAGGAAACGGGAAGAGCTCATTGTTGAGCCGACGAGTCGGGAAGTCAAATCCAGAAGGGCCAGGGGCGGTCCGGTTTCACGTCCAGCAAGCCGTGGTACTACTGTAACGTGGCAGTCTTGCAAGCGTTCTGTCCAGCTTCGAGATCAGCAGTTGTGAAACAGAGAAATTCTGTACCACCGCGCTTGGAATGGATTCACCAATGAGAGGGAGCTTGTAAACGACTTCCCGGCCTGTGCAAGTGAGACTGCGGCATGGCTCGAAGACGATCGGCCGGCCCTGAATACCAGCGATGGCCTCGGGATGCTGCAGGTGCATGGGATGAGCGTCCGTTGACTGTCTTTCACTCCAGGTTTGTGCTTTCGGCTCGCTTCCTGTGCTACTGGTGAGTACCTAAGTTGGGAGGTGATGTTCAAGTTCACCTTGCGAGTATTGCTGGTTGTGTGCCCTGTCCTGCTTGCCGGCCGCATGCACCTCGTGGCTCACCTTCGCGCGCCGTCTTTGAGGGGTCTTCAAGACTTTCATTGTTCGCTTCCCGGCACCAATTGACTTTCGATTTTGAAGCTTCGATATGAAGACATGGCGAACTGGTCTGTGGATGGTAGATAGCCTCACCAATCGTTTCGGCGTTCAAGCTTTTCCCCGCACAAGGGGCGCTCGCCGGCTCCTTGGCGTGGTCAGCGGCGCCTTGCCAAGGTTTCTTTTCTTGTCCCAACGGCTTGGCGAGTCCCAGGACCAGTTTTAGCGTGAAGCCGGGGCGGCCGGCTGGATCGGTTCTCGCCAAGGGAGCGAGCGCAGTCGAACATCCATGGATGGACGTCATGGTCATGAGGCTGATGAGTGACGCAGCGGCTAGAACGGGAGATAGGAAAAGGGGGACAAAGCATTGATTACTCGACAACATTATTAGGGATGTAAAATACAGAGACACGTGAGCCTTGCTGCGCCTTTGTTCTTTTCCATGGTCGACGGCGGCGTTGATGAACCCGTTGTCTTTAGATTTTCTCGACTAGCGCGTCCAGCGCACATACCGTACATAAGCGCCACTAGCAGATACAGATCTTTCGGCCCGATGCTCGCCTGCACATGATCCTTCGATGCGGAGAGCCCGGCTGGCATTTCGTTGGAGCCGAGACGTCACGTCAGTGAAAAGGGCCGTTTTTGAGGCGGCAAGCGGGCAGCTGGCCCAGGAAGGAAAGCAACCGAGTCACCAGTGAGTCGTATCGTAAATTACAGTCATGTCGCTGATTCCGACCTCAAAATGTCCAGTCTTTCGGCGCCCAGGTCGCTGCACATGTAACCATGACCTTGGTTTGTTGACGACCTGCCACAACCAATGCGAGTGGGAGGGAGTTGGGAATTCAAGGTACAGGCAACTACATCAAGGCATTTGGGCCCTTTAATACCAGTATCCTCAAGGCGTTCTTCAGGGGCAGCAAACACAATCCTGGTCAAGTTTCACCAGCAAGAATCCAGCACTGTCATCAGTGTCGGGACGAACCACCTCAGCCATTCATGGATGGCCCCATGGGGTGTTGATGGCGGGGAAGCAAACAATGTGAGCAGCCAGCCAAAAACTGGAGGAGCAGGGCGACTTTTCTTACCGGGGGTGTGGGGTTCAACTCAAGGAATTCCGAGGTCGCGTGTATGATACCGTGTGGGGTTGCCAGCTTGGTGGGGACTGGGGTGGAAAAGTCCCCAGCTCTTGCTCTGGGCCAATTGTGAGGATCGCGAATGCAGCCACCAACAGCCACACATGTCATTCCAACGGAGAGGCATGTTCTTCCCCAGACATGCTCGCCATCAAGAAGCCACTTGGTGGCCTGGAGAACAAACAGAGATTTCATGGGGAAAACGTGCTTCCAAAGTTCCATTATCCATAATCTGTGGGGCTTCGACTAGTTAGCGGGCGGCGAGACCAAGAAAGGACTCCAGAAAAGGACCGTTTTTAGGCGTCAACCCCTGGCTCGCGACTCCATTTTCTTTCCCTCCTTCCAGGAAACGCCACGAAGGTTCCCGATCCAGCACCCTCGGCCGGCGAGGACGGTGGAAGACATGTGTACTGACGTCGCGAGCCGGCTCATCGGTGGGTCAATTGACGGTGATGACCGGCGCTGACTGAGGTCGCGAATGGTGGCGCCCTTTGTCAATGAGAGCAGCTCTGCGGCTCTCCGTCAACGGCTAGCAGCCGAGACAGGAAACGCTTGAACAAAGCGGCTGATAGCCGAACATGCAAACGATGGCAGGAATGCGAGCAAGACATATCAGCTGCAAGATTCCAGTATCCTTCCGGAGCAGTGAGAGTCACGAGAATGCATCAAATTAGGCCGTTTCTCTTGATTCTCGGCTGCCCCTTCTGCTGGTGCTGCCAATTGGGGGCCGTCGAGATGTATTGTATTGTAATAACGCTGCTGTTGGCTGCCCGTTTCCATGTGTGCAACCCCCTCACACGGAACAAAAGATGGACGTCCAGCGAATCGCGGCATGGCAAGGAAAGGATGCAATGTACCGGACCGACTCGGCCAATTTACAGTGCTATGTCGAGCCATGCCCCCTCGTTGGCCTGGCCGCAGCCCCACGGGGAGACGCGCTGCGACTCCATCTCGGCCTTTCCATGTGCAAGCTGGAGACCCCAGAGCGGAGAGATGGATTGCGGATGGGGAGTGTCGCTGGCGGATTGGTACGGTGTTGCGGGAAACCAGCGCTGCCCGGAGACTGTGGATATCCCCGGATTGGCAACCAAGCAGGGGCTTGCCACATGTTCTCGGCGTTTTTGCGGGCCAATGCACTTCATCCTTGTTTGTATTGGCCGGGGCCTTCACTAACACCAGCGATTTGGGCCGAACCGGGAACCCTCGATGACCACCTTGCGCTCGCGGGTCGCGGAACGGTGCCACTTTTCGATCCTACTCTTTCACACTCGTTTATTGCCAGCTTGACGTTTTCGCGTTCTTTATATTGCAGATCCCTCCCGCTCCTTCCCTCTCTCGCCGATCTTCCGTCTTGTTTCTTTGCATCCCTCTCATACCACCACATCAAAGACTTCGACAAGCAGGGCGCTACACCATGTCCTCTCACGAGAACGAGAAGGATGCGACCGGCCCGTCCGCGTCGCACGTCGGCACCCACGTCGGCGGCCTGGCCACCACCCGAGACGTTGAGCGTATCGAGGCGCCCGTAACCTGGCAGGCCTACCTCATCTGCGCCTTCGCCTCTTTCGGTGGTATTTTCTTCGGTTACGATTCCGGTTACATCAATGGCGTCCTCGGGGCCCCTATCTTCATCAACGCCGTCGAAGGTGTCGGTGCCAAGGCCATCTCCGAGTCCAACCAATCGCTCATCGTCTCAATCCTGTCCTGCGGTACCTTCTTTGGCGCTATCATCGCTGGTGATGTGGCCGACTTCATGGGCCGCAAGTGGACTGTCATTCTCGGCTGCCTCATTTACATCATCGGTTGCGTTATCCAAATGATCACGGGTCTCGGGGATGCCCTCGGAGCCATCGTCGCTGGTCGTCTGATCGCTGGTATCGGTGTCGGTTTTGAGTCCGCCATTGTCATTCTGTACATGTCCGAGATTGTACGTTGACCTCTTGCTGCTCCGTCTCTGGGACTTTACGTAGCTAACTTGAAACTCGACAGTGCCCTCGCAAGGTTCGTGGCGCCTTGGTGGCCGGCTACCAGTTTTGCATCACCATCGGTCTCATGCTTGCGTCCTGCGTCATCTACGCCACCAAGGACAGGGCCGACACTGGGCAGTACCGTATCCCCATCGCCATCCAGTTCCTCTGGGCCATTATCCTTGGTGTTGGCCTGATGTTCCTGCCCGACTCGCCGCGCTACTTTGTCAAGAAAGGTGATCTTAAGAGGGCCACCGACTCGCTCTCGCGCCTCCGCGGTCAGCCCAAGGACTCCCAGTACATCCAGGTGGAACTTGCCGAGATTGTCGCCAACGAGGAGTATGAGCGTCAGCTCATCCCGTCCACCACTTGGTTCGGCAGCTGGGCCAACTGCTTCAAGGGTTCGCTCTGGAAGTCCAACTCGAACCTGCGCAAGACCATTCTCGGCACTTCGCTCCAGATGATGCAGCAATGGTACGTTGCCTTCGTCAAGTGCTCCAGCCTCGCGATGCGTTCCGTGCTGACCTTGTTTCGTTCTCCAGGACTGGTGTCAATTTCATCTTTTACTACTCGACTCCTTTCCTCAAGTCGACCGGCGCCATCTCGAACGAGTTCCTCATCTCGATGATCTTCACCATCATCAACGTGTGCTCGACCCCCATCTCCTTCTGGACCGTCGAGAAGTTCGGCCGCCGCACGATTCTCTTCTGGGGCGCTCTGGGCATGCTCATCTGCCAGTTCCTAGTCGCCATCATCGGCGTCACCGTCGGCTTCAACCACACGCACCCCGACCCGCTGGACTCGACCAAGACCGTGGCCGACAACGTCTCCGCCGTTAACGCGCAGATCGCCTTCATTGCCATCTTCATCTTCTTCTTCGCCTCTACCTGGGGTCCTGGTGCATGGATTGTCATTGGCGAGATTTTCCCCCTGCCGATTCGCTCCCGTGGCGTCGGTCTGTCGACCGCCTCCAACTGGTTGTGGAACACCATCATCGCCGTCATCACCCCCTACATGGTGGGCGAGCACCGCGGCAACCTCAAGTCGTCTGTCTTCTTCGTCTGGGGCGGTCTCTGCACCTGCGCCTTTGTCTACACCTACTTCCTCGTGCCCGAGACCAAGGGTCTGTCGCTTGAGCAGGTCGACAAGATGATGGAGGAGACCACGCCGCGTACCTCGGCCAAGTGGAAGCCGACCACGACCTTTGCTGCCGCCCAGGCCGCCGACGACGGTCTGCTCCACAAGGGCAGCGATATGGCTGTGTAAAGGAAGGTTGGCGCAGGGTCCGACCATGCATTTGCTTGCTTGTCATTTACCGCGCATATACCTAATATCACGTGGCGTTACGAATTGCATACCTTGACTCGCGACAAATGTGTCGGTTGGATGAGTATGGACGGCATGATACCTTCCGGCGGGAGGGATATCTGTTGAGAGATTTGGTACGAGCGATGCTTCTATTCTCGTGTGTAAGGGGCCTTGACAACCCTCTCATTGTACATAATTCCCTAATGTCTCGCAATCCCGAGTAGGAATTGTGAACTGTCGTCTTCCCACATGTCTCGGGTAACCGTTCGCTTTCGTCTTGCCGGACCTGTAGAGATATACTGTGTACACAGTAGAGCCCCTTGAGTCTGCGGGGTGAGCATGGAGATTTGCAATGTCTTGACTCGGGAGTCGGAGTTGTGCCCGTTTCAGGGTCTCGTCGATTGGTGGCACAAAGGATCAGCGAAAGGCAGATGATCGACAGAACAAACCCACACCGCCGCTTTCGGATAGTGTGACATACTGCGACGCTGCGACGATCTTCCAGCGGCCTGAGATGCGCCGGTCACACAACGAGTTGCACAATCTTTCAGCTTAAACCATGTCAGCCCTGGGGTCGTCCAACCCGAACACAGCAGATTGTGTGCCTGTGTCCCGAAAATGTGTCGCACAGGAGGTAACGCGTAGAATTTTTGGTAATCCATACGGCGGAGATAGGAGGAAACTTTAATTTTAAAAAAAGCAACGAAACCCCTGTCAGTGAACCTTGAAAGCTGCATGTGACTAGCAACTGCTGAAACAGAAGCCGCCCACAAGCCACTCCAAGGCGATAAAGTGGCCAATCACAGTTGAAAGCGCTTCCTTAACCAATCTTCGCATAGCCCTAACCCTGGCCCTGCTTTATCTGCCAGACGAAAATGAGATTATGGCACAAGAACGTGAATACGAAGTGAAAATTCACTGCCAATAAAACGTTACTGATATGTGGCCAGGCCTCATTCTTTGGTAGTAACTGGTCAACAGCACAACTGCCGGTCGTCAGCCCTGCTGCCCCTGCAATCCTCCTCGCCTCACTGCCTCGTCAATCGCGTGGCGCATCTCGGCAAACCGGCCAAGCTTCCGACGTCCCGGTCCTCATGCAATCCATCAACCGGGCACGTTGCCGTGAGGGGAATCTGTTTTCCCGACTTTCACTCCAGCCCCGCATCACGACCCGCACACCCCGCAGAAGCTGTCGAATTCGGGACACGGCGATGGAGCTCATTCACTGCCGCTCGTGGCACAGTGGATTTCCTGCGTCGCCAATGGACCTGGGCGACATCTACTCGTGGTTTCTCTGAGGAGACACCATGGCAGCCGGCTGAATCTCGATCTGTCAGCCGTTGGCCTGCCGTATATAGCTATTGCGGCGAGTCCACTGCCCTTGTTGTACAATACAAGTACCACCCTCCCTCCATGGGCTACACAAACCACACCAACAATACAACTGACTTTAAATCATTGGAACCGTAACTATTCGCACACAGATCTGTTTGTGCCTCGTTGCACGTGTCCTACGACCGCGCAGTACGAAGGGTCGCGAAGGACCGAATCGTCCGGCCCGCCCACGCGCCGTCCCTCCCGCTCCGCGTCTCACCAGGAGAGCCTTCACGATCGTGAGACCTTCCGAACCAGGCAGCCCAGGCCGAACCGCAACCCCGTACCGCAATCCAAGACACAGACGTAGCGACCAACATGCCTCTCCCTGCCGGCGTCTACCGCGCCGACCACGTCGGCTCCTTCCTCCGCCCCGCCGAGATTCTCCGGGCGCGCGAGACCCTCGACACTCCGACGCCGATCGCCGCCGCCGACCTCCGCAAGCTTGAAGACGAGCACATTTCCTCGGTTGTGCAGAAGCAGATCGCCAACGGCCTGCAGTCGGTCACGGACGGCGAGTTCCGCCGCGCCTGGTTCCACATCGATTTCCTGCAGCACCTGGCCGGCGTTGAGCGCCACGGCAGCCTGTCGTCGACCAATGTCACGTCGCACGGCGTGACCCCGCCCAAGCTTGTCGTCGTCGGCAAGCTGGGACATCCCCAGGCGATCCAAGTCGAGGATTACAAGTTTGTGGAGGGTGTGCGGGCGCAGCTCAAGGCCGGCAAGGAAACGACCACCAAGGTGTGCATCCCGAGCCCGACCATGGTGCACTTTCGAGCAGGCAGGGAACATATCTCGACCGAGGCGTACCCCACGCTCGACGGCTTCTTTGACGATCTAGTGAAGGCTTACCAGGCCGAGATCGCCGATCTGTACGCCTCCGGCTGCCGGTTTGTCCAGCTGGATGATACCAACCTTGCCTATCTCTGCGATGAGGGCATGAGAGCCGAGGCGGCGAAGAGGCATGGCGAGGACCCGCAGGCGTTGACCAAGCGATATGCGGCGCTGATCAACGCCGCCATCAGCCAGCGGCCCAAGGACATGGTGACTGGCATCCACCTCTGCCGCGGGAACTACCGTTCACAGTTCTTCGCTGCGGGTGGCTATGAGCCAGTGGCCGAGGTGCTGTTCAAGGAGTTGGACGTGGACGTCTACTTCCTCGAGTACGATGACGAACGGTCCGGTGACTTCTCGCCTCTGCGGTTTTTGCCCGAGAACAAGATTGTGGTGTTGGGCGTAATGTCCAGCAAGAAGGCCGAGCTGGACGACAAGGAGAACATCATCAGGCGGTTGAACGAGGCCGCCAAGTTCTGCCCCCGCGGCCTGGACCAGCTGTGCCTGTCTCACCAGTGTGGTTTCAGCTCGACGATGGAAGGGAATCAACTCACCGAGGAGGAGCAATGGAGTAAGGTTCGGCTAGAGGTCGAGATTGCCAAGCAGGTTTGGGGTGAGGATCTGTCGGCTTAGGTGTGGCTCGTCAAGCACTGGAGAGTCGGCGGCGTTCAACATGGATACCCGTTGCTTTTCAACAGCAAGCAACATTGAAACCTTTTGCATATGGCGGTCGAGGCAGCATGTTGTGGGTAGCAGGTGCATGGCTCGGCGGGGTTTGGAAAATGCGGGAGGCTGAGATGTCTTCGCAGGTACTGGTCCGTGTAAAAAGCTCCCTTGTCCCGCCAAATCAAAAACACGTAACTATATGATGTTCCACATTCTCCGGTCACAGCTTCCTTTCGCCCGTAACTCGCATCGCATCAATAGCTCGCAGGATGTTGCGCTCTCAAAGCTTCGTGCACCTTTGCAATGGCATGAAGTCAGCCTCGCTGTTTAAGGCTCTCTCCGGGCCTTGGGTTTGAGCACATACGACTGGCCCGGCTTTCTCAGACCAAGGTGATCTTTATGTCGTTGTCCAGCAGGACATATCATCTGACAGTGATATCACGACAACGAGTGATGGGAAGGAACGTCGGTTCAGACCGTGCAAGAAAGGAAGGCACGAAAGCTTACAAGTCCCCCATTGTCATCCTCACCCTCCTCTCTTCGTAGTACAAGTCTCGATCACACAGTCCACATAGTCGTTACAATTCAGACTCGGCTCTGCTCCAGGGTACTAAAGCCATTGTTCTAAATTTTGAAAGTGCGCCGAATCCCTGTGGGAGATATCGCTTGGTGTCGCCAGATCTCTTATAAGGTACCTGAAGGTAGGCAACGTTGGGCATTCGCGTCCACCGTCGCGTCCGCCTAGGGGACAGCAGCGGCATCTTTGGCCAACTCAAAGCCCACCTTTTCCGGCTCATCTCTTAACGGAAACAACCCCTCTCTCCTCGGCATCGATTTACCGTCGGCTTTGCACTTGCTGGCGAAGTCGCGCGCCGCGGGCAGCAGTCTTGAGGCAGGGAAGCAATTCGGTGAGGCGCTCGGTTCCGTGTTCAACGCCAAATCCCACGATTCCACGCCGTCTGCGAACGGCCCGAAGTCCACTCCACTCCCAGCCCCGTAGGGACGAGGATGAGGTACAGGAACCGCAAGTTGGGTTTCTGCCTCGCCGCTTAAGCTCCAGTCTACGATACCTTGGGGTTTTGATCCATCGAGAGACGTACGGCATGATGGCTGAATACCACATCACCGAATATGGCCGCCATACAGGTCGGGTCAAGCTCTTCATCGGGTCGTCGTGTAACCCTTGGGTCGCAGGCTTCCGGCCTACCTTGCTTCGTTAATGAAAAAGAAATGGACACAAAACAAATGTTGAAATGTCAAGAAAACCGAAGGTGTCGCCAATGATGGCTTGTTGGCGAAAACCAGCCCCAGTCCTTGCATTGATGCGACTTGAAGGTCATTTAGAGGAAGTAAAAATCGTAACAAGGCCTCCGTTGGTGAACCAGTCCCTCTCGCGACAAGCACAACTCGGCCAGCGCGTACTGTTGCTTGCTTTCATGCCCAACCTTTGACGATTGCCAAGGCTTCTCGACGCAGACCCAATACAAACCCGTCATTTCCAACCTTCCGGAGATCTTTCCACACAGACCTCGACCACGCCTCATTCTGGCACACCGCATCACCTCCACACCCACACCGTTGGACTCTTGCATGCCGTGCGCCACCTGCGCCGCCTTGGCCCTCCGCATCAGCAGGCACCACCCAATCTGCTGGAAGCCGCTGCGCCGCGTTCGCGGATGGTCAGGCGCGGGGAGAGAGAGAGACAACAGCGCCAGTTGGGTTGGTCTGAGGTCTTCACCGGCCGAGGAGGAGGTTGACAAGGTACCTTACCTGGAGCCTCGGAAATACCGCCTGGTGCCTAAACCTGGTGCACAATCCAGGATTTTCACCGGGAGCTCTCACCGCCGGTCATGACCAGTAACTCACCGGTCATGCCGCACACCTTGTACAAACATGGATTCAGAGCAGGAGTTGGGTAGGATGCCGTTGGCCTCGCATGTTGATTCAGGTACTCATAGGTTCGTTGTATGTTGGTCCTGTATTGACTTCCAAGCTGACCATCTCATCCCCCCTGAAGGAAATGCCTTGCCAACACTCTGCCTTTCACTTGACGGGACCAACGAGCCGTCTAGGCTGCTGGTGTGGTGGCAGTGCTTTCAAGTATCACGGGCATAAAGCATGTAACTCGGGGGAAGACAGGTTTTGATTTTCTTGCCAAGATCCATGTTCTCCATCAATACCTGCTATCCCAAGAGTGCAAAAGACAACCGACAAGGCTATACCCCGACCGCAGAGCACCAGTATCGTCCAGCGCGCTGATTCTCCCAGCATTATCTTCCTCACTAAGTTGGCATACCGTCCCACCATGTCGGTCTCACTGTGGTCAAAGGCTTTTGTTTGGCAGTTGCTTTGCTCCGTTATCATCCTCCTCAGTCTCGCCGACGGTTATCCGGTTGATCACGGGGATCACCAGATAATGAACCTCGTCGCAGATGGCGGCCGCTCCGGATACAATGGGGTCAACGGCACCGAAGACGTCACGGGTGCGCTGGTCAGCCGTCGGGTAGGTGTCTCCCATCTATGCTCCCGTGGGCAACCTGCCCATGGCTTCCATGTGACACGGTTGCTCCCCTAAAATCGTTGGAATATGATCGATCGAGTTTGCTGACCAGGGCTGTTGCCATACCTTGAGCAGACCGAGAGGATTCTACGAGGCTAAAGGTATTCATCAAGGACGGGGTGCCGCGGGTATGGCCACCAACCGCGCGGCTGGACAATACCTTGAAGTACACGGCAGTTTTGGGTGATGTTCGATGGGATAGGAGGAAGAAAACAGTCCGGAGGTCCAGGTTCTTTAAATACCTACTTGTTGGCCAGAGAGACGTATGTTTTGAGTGACAACTACCCCAAACTACATGATGATATTGATGGATCTTGATGGATCTTCACGAATTCGGTTTTACTTGTGCTGCCTCTGAGGCTTGATCATACATATTGAAATTTCATATCCAACTCAAACTTCTTGCTCCACCTTGCGGATTCTGTCAATTAGCGGTATCCCATGCCAATCAACTTCCCTCTTCCTTCAACAGGCCACTAAAAGTGCTTTGCAGTGCGACGAAACTTCATCTTGTTTCTCGCCAGATCGGGCGATTACTCGTCCTCGCCGATGCGAATTCTCCCTTCGGTACCCAGGCCCTGAGACCAGTAGCCTCCCAGGTCAACGTTGGTCTCAGCAATGGCCCGGTGGCTGGTGAGGAGCCAGAAGCCAAAGACGGCCTGGGAAAGGACGTCCAGCACAGCGAAGATGATAATCTCTGTGTCGACAGTCGTCTTGCGAGCAAGCGTTGAAATAGCCCAGACACTAAAGCGCCGTCGTCAGCTTCCCACCATATCACAAAGTCAAGGACCGGAAACTTACACTGGGTACGCAGCCAACACCGCCAGGGAGTAGGTGGCCAGCGCCGTCCACAACTTCTGTAGGCGATCGCCGCGGGTACGGACCAAGTTGGTGCCATGCAGGCCAACATGCCAGACCGCGAACACATATCCCAAGCACGCGATGACAAACCAACCCCACTTCTGCGCCGTGTGCTCGGAGCCATAAGCCGCAAACAGGCCGCTCAGAACCATGATTACATTCGCGATAATGGCCATCACGGTGTGCGCGCCATCGACGCCGGCGAGCAGGCACAGGTTAAGGAGGATCAGGGGCGTGGTGAGGGCCCAATTGACATAGCGAGCCCAAAAGATCTGGCGGCACACTTCGTGGTGGGTGTCGGGAATGTCGTGGCTGTGGCGGTCACGGACGGTGTGGCAACTCAGCGAGGAAGCCTGGCCCGAAGCCATGGCGAAGTAAGCCAGCGCCGAGACGATGGTAATGAGGGTCGCGGTGACGTGGTAGACGCGCTTGGACACGGGCACCCTCCATGACAGCAAGGCGAAGGCAGCCGAAACGAGTGTCATCGCCACGAAGAGCACCCAGAGGGTACGGCGCCCTGTCTCGTCCACATATTGGTATTCGGTTGGCGTCGCTGGCTATGGAGTTAGCTTTTGAAAGCCGAGCTTCTGAGGGACAACTTGAGGCGTACGGATTACCGTGGGGATCGGCCCCGGCTTCGAGGTTGTCTTGGCTGCTGCGTAAAGCATCTCGGCGACTTGGTCTGGGTGAATCATCTTGGGCGGCTCGAGCTGCTGTTTACGATGAGAATCCCGGCGTGAACTGTTGTGATTAAAAAGGTGCCAAATGCAATCATTGTGGCAGTACAAGCGCTTGATATAACGTTCGTTGGGAGGGACGGAATTTGCCCCAAATCGCGGTCACCTGGTGCGGCTTGCGCAGGCTTTGGTGTAAGAGCGACGTCATCACTTCCCGGTCGTGTTCCTTGAATCGCCCGCCACGATCGCCTTGACGTTTGTGTGCCCGACCGCGGGCACTGCGGGAAAAATGCTGATGGAACATGCAGCGTTCCGATTCGACATCTGGATTTGCATTACTTGATTACTCTGGAGCTTCAGGCAGCCAGCAGTACGTATTGCATGATGGCACCACTAGTTGTGTTGGATCCGGGACAGAGACTTGATTCATTTAAATGTGGGTAGGGGCAGCGTCGCGACATGCTCTGGCAGTCGAAGAGGCCGAGAGCAATGATTTGCTGACGAGTCAGCGATCATCAATGGCAAGTAGCTTGAAACTGGTGATATGCTAAAGAGAATGTGAGAAGAAGGCGGTTGCCGGGATCCGAGCATGTGGGTAGTTCTGGCCGTTCGCGATTCCTCAGCTCTTCCGTTCACAAAAGGCCACACAAACCACCATCATCTAGCATCTCCCTGGTGGGCCTTGCGTTGTCACGGTAACATCTATGGATAGAATCCATGGTTCCTTCCACCTCGCCGTTCTTTTGAGGCAGAAAGGTATGCGATGCAAGGCTGTTTCGACGTGCGGACTTTCAAACGCAACAGTTGGTCTAGATCTTCCCCACCATGCCTCGCTTGCCCATTTGCTCTGCTGCATTTCTGTATTCATTGATTGGTTTGAGGCTCGGGTCTTAGCTGCTTGGCCCCACTGCGTCGTCATCGCTCACATAGGGTGCTTTGTCAATCTTGGGCAAACAAGTGCGCCAGGTCCGAGTATAGTCTCTGGCGAAATCGGCTTCCGCTTTTTACTCTCTGTTTAGTTGTTCAAGGGCTTGTTTCTGAGCTTCTTGGCGCTTACACTGTGCCAGTTCTCACAGTCAAATGTCCTGCACAGTCCAGCACAGTGCTGCCTTTTGGAATCGAGCGTTGGCGCAGCCTTGCCGGTCGTTAGCTTGTTCCAAAGTTGTCGGGCTGCAAAAGAGGGTCCAGAAAGTACGGGTGAGGGGCGCAACTTCGCAGATACACTTCATCACGCCAGAACCCACATCGACGGAATACAGACCCACCTGAACCCACACGGACCCCTACTTGATAGGATTTCGACCGGCCTTCCGAAGCCGGCTCCGACGCAATAACCGATGAACCCAACCGGGCCGCGGCGCCCAGCTACGCGGGCCGGCTTCGAGATTGCCGTCATCTGCGCTCTCCCGATCGAAGCCGACGCCGTCGACGCCCTCTTCGACCACCACTGGGACGATGACGGGCCGCCCTACGACAAAGCCGCGGGCGATCCCAACGCATACTCAGCCGGCGCCGTCGGCCGCCACAATGTCGTCCTCGCACATATGCCAGGCATGGGCAAGGCCAGCGCCGCCGCCGTCGCTGCCCACTGCCGTGCGAGTTTCCTCAACATCAAGCTCGCCCTCATCGTCGGCGTTTGCGGTGTCGTCCCCTTCCGTCCCGGCAGTAGTGGGGCGTCCGAGACCGTGCTCGGCGACGTCATCGTCAGCGATAGTGTCGTACAGTACGATCTCGGACGGCGACTTCCCAAACAGTTCGAGCCGAAAGACACGCTTCTGGACGCCCTGGGTCGGCCGAACACCGAGATCCGCGCGCTGCTAGCCAAGCTCAAGGGCCTCCGTGGCCGGAAGATGCTGCAGGGCAAGATGGCCGACTATATGGACGTGCTCCAAGACGAGCCGGAGCTGGCGGCTATGTACCCCGGTGCTACGCAAGACAGGCTGTTTGAGGCGACGTATCGCCATATCGCTGACGGAATGTCGTGCGAAGAGTGCGGTTGCGACGGCAAGCTGGTGCCGCGCACCCGCCTCGAGCAGGGCGATGGACAGCCTGCGGTCCACTTTGGCCTGATTGCGTCGGGCGACACGGTCATGAAGTCGGGCGAGGACCGCGACAACATCGCACGGCAGGCGGGTGTTATAGGGTTTGAAATGGAGGGCGCCGGTGTTTGGGACGTCTTCCCTTGCGTGGTCATCAAGGGTGCGTGCGACTATGCGGACAGCCACAAGAACAAGGCGTGGCAGCGGTACGCGGCGGCGACGGCGGCGGCATGCATGAAGGCTTTCTTGGGCTACTGTGTGCCTTCGGTACCAGGTGAGTTATGTCCCACTAGGGAGTATTGGGGAAGACCTTGTTGGAGAGCACCTGCTAAGTGTCGTAGGATCTCTTCCTCTTCCCGAGCAGCCTACCGGACCTTGGTGTGGGTAGAACCTTATGATTATATGTCGGACTAAGTTTATGCTAACTATATAGAAAGTTCTTGTTCCCTATACCGAAAATATGACGTTCATTGGGCGGGAATCCATCCTCAATCAACTCCAACAACAGCTTTTGGGCCCGGCTCCGAAGATCGCGCTCTTCGGCCTCGGCGGTGTCGGGTTAGTTCTGCCGGCCTGCGTATAAAGTTCGTGCTGACCAGCATAGAAAAACGCAAATCGCTCTGGCGTACATATACTGGCTCCGACGGACGAGGCCCGAGGTTTCAGTCTTCTGGGTCCATGCGAGCAATGCAGAACGATTCCGGCAAGCATATGCGTCTATCGCTCAGGAATGCCAGGTACCGGGCTACGACGACCCAAAGGCAGACGTTTTGTTGTTGGTGAAAGCTTGGCTGGAGAGGAACGATTGCGGCCAGTGGCTGATGGTTATCGACAATGCCGACGATATGCAGCTCTTCTTCGGACAGCATATGGGGCCTGTGAATGCCAGCTCTTCCAGCCATAAGGAGGGCCTCGGACGGTACCTCCCCGAGTGCCGACACGGAACTATTCTTGTCACAACCAGGAACAAGCAGGCCGGCTCGAGGCTGACCAAGGGGAAACGCCCCATCGAGGTCGAGAAGATGGACGAAGGCGAGACAGACCGGCTGCTCCGCGCACACCTTAACGGAATCAGCGTTGATTTTAGTGAATCATCTGCATTTTCTGTCCGCCTGGAACACCTTCCGCTTGCGCTCGTGCAGGCAGCAGCATTCATCCAAGAGAATACTATAGATGTCGGCCAGTATCTTGAACTCTTAGAAAACAGCGATCAAGACCTTGTCGATCTGCTCAGCGAGGAATTTGAAATTGACGGGAGAGACTCGGAGACCCCTCGTGCAGTAGCTGAGACATGGATTCTTTCGTTTGAGCAGATTCAACGGCAGAATGCCTTCACAGGCGAGCTTCTCTCGCTCATGAGCCCGTTCGACCGGCAGGCCATCCCGTTGGAATTCCTATCCCGTTACAGTGAGCAACGAGGACAAGAGCAAACGGGGGGGATACAGCTCACGAAGGCATTGGGGGTTCTAAAGGCGTTTTCTTTCGTAGTGGAGGAGAAGGATCATGGCTTAGACATGCACCGGCTCGTGCAGTTGGTGACGCGAAAGTGGCTCGTCAAAAACGGCCGGATGAGGCACTTTAGCGGGCAGGCACTGTTGGTGGTGTCGCACTGCTACCCATTCGGGCGGTATGAGAATTGGGCGAAATGCAGCGCATACCTTGCGCACGCATATGCATTGCTGGGCGGTGAGGGCACTGGTTCAAGGGACGAGAAGGCTGGAAGGGCGACTCTCCTGCACTCTATTGCGGGATTCTTCATGTCCCGAGGCCAGTGGAAAGATGCCGAGAGGTTCCAGGCTGAAGCTGTTGAGCTACGAGAGGAAGTTCTTGGGGCCGATCATCCCGGCACGCTGATCAGCATAGGCAACCTGGCGTTGATATATCAAAACCAGGGCCGGTGGGAGGAGGCCGAGAAGCTGGAGGTGCAGGTGATGGAGACGTTCAAGACGAAGCTCGGGGCCAATCATCCCGACACGCTGGCCAGCATGGGCAACCTGGCGTCGACGTATCGAAACCAGGGCCGGTGGAAGGAGGCCGAGAAGCTGGAGGTACAGGTGATGGAAACTCACAAGACGAAGTTCGGGCCCGATCATCCCGATACGCTGATCAGTATAGGCAACCTGGCGTTGACGTACAAGGATCAGGGCCAGTGGGGGGAGGCTGAGAAGCTGGAGGTGCAGGTAATGGAAACTCGCAAGACGAAGCTCGGGCCCGATCATCCCGACACGCTGACCAGCATGGGCAACCTGGCGTCGACGTATCGAAACCAGGGCCGGTG